CCAAAAATAAAAAAACATCGGTAAACGCTTTCTGTATGGCTGAGTGTATTTTCCTTCTATTTTTCACGTTTCAGATTCTTTATAAGACGAGAAAATCGCTTCGAAATCCAAAAAATCTTTTTCGGAGAATATTCTGTCGATGAGCTTCAATATGCTATTGGCAGTGGTATTTATTTTATTGCAAATCGGTGAGCCCGTTAAAATTTCTTAAAATTTCTTTCGGCAATCAACTTTTCTCAATTATCTTTTTCCTAAAATCGTGCTATCGTACTAAGCGAGAAGGAATTGGAATGGAAGAAGGAATTTTTAATAAAGGAAAATTAAGGTGGACTTATGGCATCGAAATGTCCTGCTTCAAAAATTACTGAAGAAATGCGATCGTATGTATTAAAAGAACACAATAAGCTTAGATCGCAGTTAGCAAACGGTGAAGCAAAAGCGAAATCGAACGGACTTATGCCAAGAAGTTCGAACATGCATGAATTGGTTAGATACACCATACCAAAATTTTTTTATTGATGGAAATGCAGATAACGGCGTTTCAGTTGCTCTGAACTTACTGAATGAATTACAATAACATTCAGGAGTGGGACTGCGGCCTGGAAGAAAGAGCGCAACAGTGGGCTGAATATTGCGATTTCGAGATTCAACGCAAGAATTCCGTAATTATAGCGGTGAGAATTTGTATGCCAGATGGGGATATGAAGAACCGAAATTAGGTAATTGTTATTTCGAAATAATTCGTTCATTGAAATTTTTTGCTCTTCCAGTTGTATAAAATATATTGTTTCTAATAAGCAGAAATTTTGTGCAATAATAACAAAAGAACCCTTTTAATAAAGTTATCACTAAATGACTCTATTATCATTAGAACCAAAATAATTGATGAATGATTCTAATCTGAAGCTAAAACGCCTTATTGACTAAATAATTCTCTTTAGATAAAAAACAATTCGAAGATGCGATAGAAGGATGGTGGTGGGAGGAAATATAAGATATGCCAGCACATTCTACTATGGATGGTACTCCAGGAAGTGTTTTGCATTTTACTCAGGTTACCTTTCAGAAAGTTGCGAGAAATTTTCTATAGTTCCACTTTACTGGCACTTAAATCTTTGATTCTTCAATAAAATTAGGATAAACTATACACATATTATACATATTATGCACATTACATTCAAGAAAGAAAGGCTATAAAGTTTTTACCATATTGTTATGATTCTGATTATCAGATTTTGTTAAGATGGCGTGGGCAATCACAAGCAAACTTGGCTGTGGAATGGCTAAATGCCACAATAATAATGGATACCCATTTATGGTTCATGTCGTTTGCCATTATGGCCCAAGGTATTTTTTATTTTTATCAACAAATAAGTCTCAATATTGAACAAAATGTGAATTTCAGAGGAAACTGGGATAAGACAATCTATGAAGAAGGTGAACCATGTAGCAAGTGTTCGGATTATGGCAGGGTATGTAATGGTAATGGTAATGGTCTTTGTATAGCTGATGATACATCGGTTATAACGCCTACTGGTACAGAAGCTCCAAGTACCAAGCCAAAGGAATCTGAGAAGCCTCATGATACTGGAATTCAAAATGAAAAGCTGACTGATAATGAAATAAACAAACCATCAAAACCAGACTCATTAGAAACATCTTTGCTAATTAGACAAGCACTAATTCTCTTATTTACGGGTACTTTTTATGGGCTTTAATGTCCATCTATTTGCGCGTTGTTGTTATTTCTTTCATTCCAAACTGTTATAAAAATCCATATTTATTTATCTTTTTACAAGCAGTTATCATGGGTGTCAACGTTCACCTATTTGTTCCATGTTGTCATCTTATGATCTTTTTTTATGGATTTTTCATAAAGCGCATAAATTTTGCTTTCTCCATCAGGTAGTTCGTGTCGTGCGTCGAAGATTACTTCGGCTGGTCGAGAAAATATTTTAAAGAAACTTAATGACATTCGGAGGAAAGTTGCTATGGGTCAGTTCTCAACATCAGATGGAACGTATCCAGCAGCCAAGGAGATGTATAAATTGGTTACTATTTATTAAAATTTTGCAAATTTTCAAATGATTTCCAAAAAAGTGTTAGTAACCAATTCATGGTCGTTGATTTTAATAATTCTTTTCTATTATATTCTAATTGGAATTGAAGCGATGGAATTGCACGTTGGAAAAACTGGCTCAGGAACATGTGGACAAATGCCATTATAATCGTTCGGAACATTTCTACAAGCATTTTCATGGCGATGGCATTGGTGAAAGTTTGTTTACGAAATGGACTGTTGACAAGAATCCTACAAGTGCGCATTTAACCAATGAAATCCTTTGAAACTTCTGTAATTATTTTAAAAGAATTTCGAAAAACCCGCTTAGCATTAATTTTGCCACTTTTTTTGGCGGTTTGGCTCTTATTCACAGTCATGGCTTTCACATCAAAGTTTAACTCTTAAATATAGTCGCGATTGATAGCGGATAATGTGGTGATAAAATGATAAATTGCTATCTAAAAAATACGATATCAATGCGATTAGCCTGCGCTGTGGGAGCCAGTGTTATGGGGTTTGAAATTCTGTCGATTTGTCCATCTAATTTCATGTTTCTAAACAAAGGAGATAATTCTTTTCTCCACTGATTAAGGCCATACACCTCTTGGCAACCCGTGTATTTTAATTTTTCTTGATCATCCCATGTTCTGCTTGGATCTCGCCTTACTACCATTTAACACAAAGCATATAACGAGATAGATGCGTGTGACAATATTATCAAAGCTAAAAAAAATGGCTATTGACAATTTATGTATGTGGGCGAATTTCATTTATATGACTAAAACGAATGGCTCAGTGGTTGTTGCTCAAGGGCCTTGTCTATTCCTCGCAAGAGTTAATCGGTCCAAAAATCCGAGTAATGCTGGCAATTCACCTGTATTTCTATCGCTAAGGGATTTCTGGAGCATTTGTCTAGTGCGGCAAGCCAGCGCAGTGAGTTTAATCAGTAATGGTAAAGACCCGTGAAGATGTGGTTAAAAGAGGTTGATCCTTATTTGTTCACCTGGATCTCGATTTGCTGTCCCAACCGTGCATCTTCTAGGCATTATCAATTATTGTCACCAAAATATACTGCATTATTAACTTATTCAAGACCCCTTACATTATAAATTTTGAGATGGATGGAGGGAAGATTCATGTTTATCTTCCATTCTCTCAAAATAAAGATATCTTAATTATACCTCTAACTCATGAGGTGTTTTGCTATTATTCTGTGATATATTCTCGTACCTTGTCCAGTTTTCTTCTTCTCACTGTTCTTGCTGGGGATATGTGAGCTGTCGCGACGCAGATGACCTGCCTATATTTGTAGTTATTTTCGCCACCGCCAAAATATACTATATCATTGGCTTTAAGACCCTTTACAAAAATATAATATTATATTCCTATAATACTATTATATTATCGCCCTTCCTACAATATTATATTATTATACTATAATAATATTATGGACTATAATATTATATTCCTATATTCCTGAACTGAGGACGAGCGTCTTTCCTCCATAATCTAATCTCTCGCATAGTTTAATATTGTAGGAAGGGCGATTCTGATGGCCAATATTTCAAAAATACTCATGACACTCATGCACGCCTGTACTCATACAAAACGATGAATTAGATATATTTTCTTCTATAGAACCATCTTATTGCCATCATAACCATCCAAAGCTCTTCCGGATATTGCTTTAAAATTAAGAAACTGATTCTTCCTGAAAAATTACTATGATGCATACAATTATTTTCCTCAAATAAAGATCAGATAATTCTTCAATCCTTTCCGACTTGCATATTTATAACATATTTATAACATTTACCAATGCCTCCCATACGCGCAGTAATGGACGAACATCATTTGAGATCGGTTCCACTAAGATAACCAAGAAAAAAATTCGCGATCATTTAAGTATAATAGTCTTATCGTTAAAGATTTTCATCACTAACAGGATGAAGCGAGTTAACTGCAATTAAAGCGAACGAAAGAAGGATATTCCAAAGCCGAATTTACAAATAAGATAATGCAGCTAAAAATGCGTTTCTGCGTCTTATGAAGCCGTTTAGAGATTACCATAAAAATCATACTAAAGTCCTATATAGCCGCGATTCGTTCGATCTTGTTATATAGCAAGACATGGCCAACGAGAGTGGGAGATATTATTTGCTTTTGACCACTCATGTCTAAGATATTTTTTACGCCGAGTGGATAAAATCTCACATGATTCCATCCACTTCCACTCAGATACGTTCTTCGTCGTTCAAGAATTCAAAACCGAGGTAGACCAATCAAGACCGGAATTGGCATGGTCAGAAAAGATTTTGTAAATATAGATGGACCATCAATATATGAACTTAGACGATGGAAAAAGGAGTGGTTTCCATTATTGTTGACGATGGCATCAAATCGTGCAGCGTCTTGTACATATAGGTAGTGGAGCCAGCTTAACCAATAAAGGTGCGAGCTATTAGAAGATTAGAAGATGAAGAAAAAGGATCTTCCTGCAAACAATTCTATTGCAAAGGGAACAAACGACTCTCAAATTGCGATCTGGATGGTATTCTGAATCAATATTTAAAATCGTTCTTTATTCCACATAGCGCCAGATAAATTCACGCTACATTTAGAACCCAATGACGATTTTTCACTTTTTTTATGGAATCTTTGGAATTTTCTATAAAGTTGTAGAGTTTTCAATATCATCAAATTTCTTGCACTCGTACGGAACCATTCTACTCTTCTACCCCTCGGTCGGAAACAGGAATAAGAGAAAAGGAGAGCATAAACCGCTCCTAGTAATGATGAGGACTCTCTCATTATCATTAATTGCAATATGACTCCTTCATCAATTAGTTAGTGATAGAAGCGCAAAAAAAAATGCTTCAAATGAGTTTCCAGCAACAACCCGGATTTTTATATATTTATATATTTAATAACATATACTAATAATTCACAACTCTTCGAACATTTCACTCTCATCGAATGAAAGGAAAACTAAGAAACGATAATTTGGATTCATAGAGAATTGCAGAATTGTTTTTAAAAAAAAATGGTAAAATAGACCACTAAAGACCATTTCAATTAATTTATTTATAATACTTATTGCGCATTTCATATCATATCGTAATGATCACATTAACAATTTTTGCACGATCTTTTACAGATGATTTACTATCAGTTGCGGTAGATGAGTGGATGAAGACTAAACCATTGGGAGAAACAAGTTTATCAGCAGACAAATATCTAAATAAATCGAGTGAAGAATTTGCTCAGGTTTTATTCATTCATTTTCTCGTTCTTTTTCTTCTGACAACATATTCGTAATAAAAATGGTGAAATCATCATATTTTTAATTTTAATATTATTATATAATTTTAATCTTTTTCATTTTATATAATTGAATGGAAAATATTAATATCATTGTTATCCATAACATTACTATTAGATTGGTTCAACTGACTTCAAGGATTAAGCGTTTGAAAGATGCTATAATATATGCTAAACCTGCAAGGCGCTCGCTCCTTTTTCCATGTCTAAACCTTACTTTACTTTACTAAAAACGGTCACTTATCATTTCTAATATCCTCTTGAACCCATGATTTTATTGGATCTCATAGAATTATCATTTATTCAGAGATTTGCCTCAGTTCCAGCGAACCTCGGCGAAGAACATTGCAAACGAGCGAAATGAGGTTTTAACACGATAACGATGCAGGTAGAATTCGAGGAAAGGATTGAATCATATTAGATTATAGCTGTATAGATTATAGCTATTAGCGCAAACATCATCCACTGTGTTTAGGTTATTGATATCTTCCATTTCCACTGGTCACATTTATAAATTGTGTAAAAAATTATACGCAATATAGCCAGATAAATTTGAACTTTTTTTTCGTGCTGGTCTGGTATAACTGCGATTAGAATGTCCTCATCACGTGAAATAAAGTCATGGAAATTGCAGAAAAAATATGGAATATGAGAATCCAAAGCCAAGATTTGATTTAAAATTTGGTTTAAAATTTGGCATCAATTTTAGAAAATTTTAGACCCTCGCGAACTCACCATGAAGATAGCATCCGCGTTAATATAGCAATTGGCTCGATCTTGCCATATGGCTAAAAAATATGGCCAATGAAGATGGAAGATATTAAAAAGCTATTAGCCTTTGACCACTTATGTCTAAGATATATTTTTAATGATCTGCCAAACAAATGAAATCGCACATGATTTTATTGATAATTTTATTGAATGGTTTTATTTTATTGGTAGTATCCATTTTCTCTCAACTACCATATTAATAATGCTATCGCAAAACGTCACCTTCGCTGGTTAGAGCATGTTTTTCGTCGTCCACCACAGGAGTTGACGCATATTTTGTTACTTGCTGAACCGTGTGATGCGTAGCAAAAGTGAGATGAGCCAATGAAGACCTGAATTTATACAGTCAGAAAAGGTTTTTGAACATATATAAAGATCAGCGATACATGGATTTAGATGATGGAAAAAGGAATGGTATCTATTACTACTAGCAATGGTATCGGACCGAGCACCTTGGAGATGCCTTATCCTTGTAGCCAGTGGAGCAAGTTTAACCAGTAATAGTGAGAGCTTTTAGAGCTAATAATCAATTTTAGAACCGTAAATATGAACTGAATTACATAAATGATTTTAGGAAATATTTTTATTCACATTTTTTTAATCCATTTACCACCACTATATTTCAGATACTCACTGCCCGCACTACAGAGGTTGGCTGTGGAATATCAGTTTGTGATTATCCTAAGCATTACCCTTTCTATCTTCAATTTGTTTCTTGCAATTACTATCCAAGGTAAAAATTTAAAAATTTGCAAAGAAAGTATCTTTCTTCGCAGACTATTCATACGAAATTTTTTCAGTGGACAACAATGGAACACTAATTTATATGAGAGTGGCGGAAAATGCACAAGTGATGCGGAATGTACGACCTATTCTCCGTCAAAATGTCTGCTGTCAGAAGGACTATGTGAAAGACAATGATTCCTTCTTTTCAATATTTTCATTCATTCAATGAGATGAAATTTAATTGAGTTAATTCAGTAAATTTTCGCAACATATCGATAATAAATTAGTTTACATAAAATTTGGTTTTTAATTTCAATTTTTGCTTTTAAATTTCATCCTTCTATATCTTATCTCATTTATCTCATTTTCTTCATTATCGGATTCAATTACAAAGAATGAAAAAGACATTCGCAGTGGAATACAATATTTTTTAGATTATCTTAGATTATCGAAGACTCAAGGCTCT